CCACAGTCGACACAGTTGGCCATGGCATCCTCCTCCACCACCGTCCTCCCTCATCTATCTTAGTTACCTATATGCTCCTCTACTGTCATCCATTGACATGGGGTAAACTTCCACATGTATGCGATGACACACAAATCTACTTTTCCTCCTCCATTAACCGCTATATCAAATGCAAGGATGGTTATTATTATTATTATGACTCCAGGTCCCCAATGTTCTATCAGGTTGTCTCGCACACATCAAGGCCTGGATGAGTGTAAACTTCCTGCAGCTGAATATGAACAAGATGGAAGCCATACTCCTTGTCTGTCAATGTCTTCAATACTGTGGATCGAAATTCCTCAACCTCTCTGGTCTCTCCTTCAGTCTCAGTGCACAATTCAGGCATCCAGTTCAACCTCCAACTGCCCTTCCTCCCCCACATCCAATCCCTGACCAGAACCACCTTCTTCTACCTCCACCAAATTGCCTGCCTCCGACGGTATCTTATCACAAATGCAGCCGAAAACCTTGTGCATGTGTTTGTCACCTCCTCTTGGAATACTCCAACACACTCCTCACCGGCCTCCCCAGGTCCACCATTCAAAAGATCTCCAGCTCATTCAGAACTCTGCCACAGAAAACTGACCTGGACCAAACTCCATACCAACATGTCACCGGTTCTGTCCAGGCTCCACTGACTCGCCATCACTGAATGGATCAACTTCAAGATATTCACACTCATGTTGAAAACTTCCCCGACCCACTCACCCCCCAATCCACTCCACATCCGCTTGACTGGCACCGGTCTCCCACTCGTCCCTCGCACCCTCTGCCCCACCATCAGTGGTGGTGCTATTAGCCACTACACCCTGAAACTCTGGAGCACTGTCCCTCAATCCCTCCATCGTGCCCATTCCCCTTTTTCAAGTCCGCTGGAAAATCTTCTTCTTTGACTGTGCTTACGGCAGCTCCCATCCCCAACCACCGATCAGCTCGGAGTCAGGCTGCACCCGTTAAGCGCTGTGAAACACTACCCTGCGTGAAGGACGCTATATAAGTGCAAGTTGTTGCTGTTATAAAGTATAATAATCAAATATAAAATATAATATAAAGTATAATAATACTGAAATCTACATTCCATAGTGGATCCTTTGGTTGCAAGTGTAGCTGCGACAGGTACAGCCGGTAATTAATAAAAATGGAAAACATAATTAATAACTCTGTGATCTTACAACATGTTCTTTGCATTTACACCCACAACAGAACAAACTGCCTTCTCTGTTGGAATAGTGATGTGAGATCTTTAACTGTGACAGTGAGGCCCCCCCTGGCCCTGCACTGGGGGTCTACATGAGATGGTTTGGGGAAGAAACATGTTATGTGTAACTGCTGTAATGTGCCCCTCCCCTCCCCCTCCTCACAGCCGCTCCTTATTCACCCCAACATGGTGCAGGTCAGAGAGGAGCTCCCATTCCCTTCCCTCCTCACTTGCCTCCAATTCTCAGCGTTTAAACCACAAACTGGGAATAAACTGACTGCAGAGCTCCCACTTTACTACTGACACAAACCTGACAATAGAGAACATTTATTTCATATTTAAACTCCACATCACCACATGTGAAAGTGAAACCAGTGATTCCTGTAACTGGAATACAGAATAAAGTAATTTTTTTCAATCAGAATCTAATGTCATTTCAGGCAACAATTTCTGACACTTACCTGTTGGTGTTTTGCCTCAAAGAGAGGAATCTTCACAGGTAAAACTGTATGAAAGTGTGACCGGGATTGGATTTTTCTGACTGTCAAATTGTCTCGTGGGAGTCAAAAAATGTACAGCAACTAACAACAACAACAACAACAAGATTCCATTTATAGAGCGCCTTTCACGTCAGGAGGACGTCCCAAGGCGCTGCACAGTTGGGTCATGACCCGAGCAGGGGGGAAATGGTCAGGGTGAGGGGAGGGAAGGGAGGGAGAGAGGAGGGGGGAAATGGTCAGGGTGAGGGGAGGGAAGGGAGGGAGCGAGGAGGAGGAAGAGAGTCGAGAGGGGAGCTGAAGGCACGGTCAAAGAGAAAGGTTTTGAGACCGGCCTTGAAGGAGGAAAGGGAGGAAGCGGCGAAGGCACTGGGGGATGGAGTTCCAGAGCCTCGGGGCTGAGAGGCTGAAGGCCCGACCACCGATAGTAGGGCGGTTGGGGCGGGGGACGTGGAGCAGACCGGAGCCAGAGGAACGGAGGTTACGGGCAGGTAGGTAGGGGATAGTAGGTTGGAGAGGTAGGAGGGAGCAAGGCCGTGAATGGCCTTGTAGGTGAGGATGAGGATCTTGAAATCAATCCTCTGGGGGATGGGGAGCCAGTGGAGGCGAGCGAGGGTAGGAGTGATGTGGTCCCGAAGCCTGGTGCGGGACAGTACACGAGCTGCAGAGTTCTGAATGACCTGCAGCTTGTGGAGGGAGGTGCCGGGAAGGCCGGCGAGGAGAGAGTTCCCATAGTCCAGCCTTGAGGTGACAAAGGCGTGAACCAGGGTTTCAGCAGCGTGAGGGGTGAGGTAGTGCCGTAATCTGGCGATATTCCGGAGGTGATGGAAGGCGGTGCCAGTTGTGGTGCGGATGTGAGGGAGAAAGGACAGCTCAGGGTCGAACAAAACGCCGAGGTTCCTGACTGGCTTTGAGAGGTGGAGAGTGCAGCCTTGGATGCTGATGGTGTCAGCGCCTGAGGTGCGGAGGCGCTGACGTGAGCCAATCAGGAGGGCCTCGGTTTTTCGCACGTTGAGCTGAAGAAAGTTGTCTCTCGTCCAGGACTCGATGTCGGACAGGCAGGCTGTCAGGACATCGGTGGTCGTGGAGTTGAGAGTAGAGGAGGAAAGGTAGAGTTGGGTGTCATCCGCATACATGTGGAAGTTAACCCCATGTTTGCGGATGATGTCACCAAGGGGGAGCATATAGAGGGTGAAGAGGAGGGGACCGAGGACAGAGCCCTGAGGGACACCACATGAGACAGTACGGGGGGTGGAGGAGAAGCCATTCGTTGAGACGAAGTGAAGACGGTGGGAAAGGTAAGAGCTAAACCATTCAAGGACAGTGCCTTGAAGGTTGAGGTGGGAGGACAAGCGGTGGAGTAGGATAGCGTGGTCGACCGTATCGAATGCTGCCGATAGGTCGAGGAGGACGAGGAGACAGAGGGAGCCCTGGTCACAGATAGTCAGGATATCATTGGTGACCTTGACCAGGGCAGTTTCTGTGCTATGGGCAGCACGGAAACCTGACTGAAGGGGTTCAAAAAGAGAATGGGTGGAGAGGAAAGAGCGCAGTTGGGAGGCGACAACTCTTTCCAAGACCTTGGAGAGAAAAGGGAGGTTGGAGATGGGCAGGTAGCTTGATAGCTGCGACGCATCAAGGGAGGGTTTTTTCAGGGTGGGCGTGATGATGGCAGTTTTTAACTAAATAGGCAACTCGGTCAAACCAGTCCATGCGGTGATTATGCTCCACAGCGTCTTCACCCATTCCTCACTCCCTGAACATTTTGTTCATAAAATATCCAGTCAATCCCCTTTACATCTTAGACAAGTTTCCTTATTCCACACACCTCTGTTTACCAGCAGTTAAGTGGGAACCCAGTTGACAGTTGATTGGTGGATCGCTTTCTGTGGTCAATAATCTCTCCCAAAAAATAATTTGGTTACTCAATCCATGACTATTTGTGGGAAACTGCTGTGTGCAATTGGCTGCAGTATTTTGCCCACAGAACACACAGTCAATACACTTTACAATATATTCTGTGAAGCGATTTGTGATGTCTCAGTGATGTGATGAGGTGCTGTATTAAATGGAGGGATTATTGTTATTATTCCTCTGGAATACATCCACACGATCTGAGTTCAATGTCACTGGTTTCTCAAATTCTAAAATGGAGTTGGAAATGTGGGAAATCAATGAAAGTCCACGGAGCGAACCCTAAACCTGGAGCAGCCGGTGAGGCCGGAGAGAGAGGCAACAACTGGACCAGAAACAAACACTGCCGGTGAGAGTAACGAGGGTCAGAGGAGGAGGTGGGCATTCGGTGTCTCAGCACTGTGTTATCTGTGTGGTCTCTGCACAGTAAGTTGGAGAGTGAATTAAGACAACTCAGGGTGTGAGTTTCAGGGGGTGAGGGTTAGGGATGTGTGTATCAGAGGGTGAGGAGTGTGTGTAGACTGTGCATAAGGATTGGACATAAAATGATACATTATTTATTGTAAATTGATCGAGTATTTTGTAAGTGAATGACAATATTTTGGATATTAATATCCACACAGACGTGACCTCGGTTTATTGAAGGTTAAAGATTGTTACAGTGAGTGAGAAATGTGACAGATTATAAAAGCTGTCACTGAAAATACACAGTGTTTATACACAGTGAGACGCGGCCACTCACTGGGGAACAACACGGCACCTGTTTATAGATATAAAAGTGATTTGGGAGATTTCAGTGAGATTCTGAGCACAGCCCCGACTGTGAGACTGGGCATTGCTGGAGAGAAAGATATCAGCGATATATATCCCTGTCTCAGAGCGTGTGAGTCACACACTGGATGGCAAGTCAGATTCTCCCAACACAGGTGTGAGGGGGTGTGTGGGGGGGGGGGGGGGGGGGGGGGATGGGTGTTAGGGTGTGTGGGGGGGTTATGTGAGGCTGTGTGTGGGGTGGGGGAGGAATGTGAGGGTGAGTCTGAGGGTGATGTGAGTGTGTGTGGGGCGGGTTATGTGAGGGTGTGTGTGTGGGAGGGGTTATGTGAGGGTGTGTGTTTGGGGGGGATGTGAGGGTGTGGTGGGGTGGGGGGGGGATGTGAGGGTGTGTGTGTGTGGGGGGATGTGAGGGTGTGTGTGGGGGGGGTGTGAGGGTGTGTGTGGGGGGATGTGAGGGTGTGGTGGGGGGGATGTGAGGGTGTGTGTGGGGGGGATGTGAGGGTGTGTGTGGGGGGGATGTGAGGGTGTGTGTGGGGGGGATGTCAGTGTGTGTGTGTGTGGGGTGATGTGAGGGTACGGTGGGGTGGGGGGGGAATGTGAGGGTGTGTATAGGGTGATGGTCGGGGTGATGCCCATTTTAAAGTGCACACCCTCCCCCCCACTCCCCCCAAGAATATTTTCACCCCCAATGTATCAAGTTAATGGCTGAGGGTTTTTGCTCCTCATTATAATGGACTAATTTTCCTCCTCATTAACCGTCACCGACAGATTGTCAGAGGTTCAGAACCAAACCAGAGATTGAACAGAGGATAAAGTTTCTCAGTGAAAGTTTGGGTGAAAGTGTGGAGATGAGCCATGTTGTCAGCGTTGTAAAATGACATCTGTCCCCCCTCATAGTCCATGTAAACCCCGACCTTCCCGGGTCTCACTGTCAGGGTCAGGCGGGTGGGGGGTGATGTCAGAGCATAATAGACCCCGTCCCACAGCTCCACCCCCCAGACCCCACCCTCTGGTGACCACCTCATTGGTTGTTTCCTGTTGACAGACTCTGTGGCCAATCCCACAGCCCACATTGACTTGTTGCCCACCTGCACCTCCCAGTAATGTCTCCCCGATGTGAAGCCCTCAGATCCCAGGACAATGGGATAGTTACTAAACCTCTTCGGGGAGTGAGGGAGCGGCTGCTCTTCGTCTTCGTGTCTCACACTGGTCAGGTCCTCAGACAGGATGAGCCGGGGATGGGCTGTGTCAGGATCCAGAGTGACTGTAACTGGAGGGAGAATCAGACCATTAATGTCGGACACATTTACAATCATAAATAAGATGATCTTCAGCGTCGTCACCGGGAGAGAAGCCTTTGTGTAAAACATCGACATCTCCTGGGAACAGAATCCGCAAAAAGGCTGAGAGTCTGTGTCTCTGTGGGGGAGGAGTTTGTGTGGGGGGGAATGTGTGGGTGTGCGTCAGGGGGCTGAGGGTGTGTGTGGGGGGGCTGAGGGTGTGTGTGGGGGGGCTGAGGGTGTGTGTGGGGGGGCTGAGGGTGTGTGTGGGGGGGCTGAGGGTGTGTGTGGGGGGGGGCTGAGGGTGTGTGTGGGGGGGCTGAGGGTGTGTGTGGGGGGGCTGAGGGTGTGTGTGGGGGGCTGAGGGTGTGTGTATGGGGGTGTGTGTGGGGGGGCTGAGGGTGTGTGGGGGGGCTGATGGTATGTGGGGGGTGCTGAGGGTGTAAGAGGGCTGAGGGTGTGTGGGGAGGGCTGAGGGTGTGTGGAGAGGGCTGAGTGTGTGTGGAGAGGGCTGAGGGTGTGTGGGGGATGGCTGAGGGTGTGTGGGGGGGGCTGAGGGAGTGTGGGGGGGCTGAGGGTGTGTGGGGGGCTGAGGGTGTGTGGGGGGGCTGAGGGTGTGTGGGGGGGCTGAGGGTGTGTGGGGGGTGCTGAGGGTGTGTGGGGGGGGCTGAGGGTGTGTGGGGGGCTGAGGGTGTGTAGGGGGGAAGCAAGGGTGCTTGTGGGGTGAAGTGGGGCTGCATGTGTTGGGGGACGAGAGGGTGCATGTGGGGGGGATGTGAGGGTGCGTGTGGGGGTACGTGAGGTTAGTGTGTGGGGGAAGTAAGGGTGCATGTCGGAGCGACATGAGGATGTGTGTGGGGGTACGTGAGGGCATGTGAGTGTGCGTGTGGGCGGGTCATGAGGGTGTGTGGGGGATGTGAGTGTGCGTGTGGGAGGGAGGTGACGGTGTGCGTTGTGGGAACATGAGGGTGTGCGTGGGGAGGACGTGAGGGTGCATGTGGGCTGGAGGTGAGTGTGCGTGTGGGGGGTGGGGGGGAAGTGACGGTGTGTGGGGCTCAAGTCAGGTTGTGTATGGGGGGGACGTGAGGGTGCATGTGAGGGTGCATGTGGGGGGACGTGAGGGTTCATGTGGTGGGATGTGAGGGTACGTGTGCGGGGGACGTGAGTGTGAGTGTGCATGAACGTGAGTGTGTGTGGGGGGACATGAGGGTGTTGTGGAGGAACGTTAGGGTGCGTTTGGTGGGGATGTGAGGGTGCGCGTGCAGAGGGGACTTGAGAGGGCGTGTGCGGGGGTGACGTAAGGTTGCGTGTGGGGGTGACGTGACGGTGCGTAGGGTGGGGGGGAAGTGAGGGTTCATGTGGGTGGGACGTGAGGGTGTGTGCGGGAGACTTGAGGGTGCATGTGGGGATGACAAAAAGGTGTGTGTGGGGTGGACGTGAGGGTGCGTGTGGGGGTGACATGAGGATGCGTGTGGGGGTGATGTGAGGGTGCGTGTGGGGGGAAGGTGAGGGTGCGTGTGGGGGGAAGGTGAGGGTGCGTGTGGGGGGGAAGTGAGGGTGCGTGTGGGGGGGATGTGAGGGTGTGTGTGGGGGGATGTGAGGGCGTGTGTGGGAGTGGATGTGACGGTGTGTGTGGGGGGATGTGAGTGTGTGTGGGGGTGCACGTGAGCGTGCTTGTGGAGGGGGGGGCGTGAGGATTAGTGGGGGGGGATCGTGAGGGTGCGTGTGCACGGGACGTGAGGGTTCATGTGGAGGAACATGAGGGTGCGTGTGGGGGACACGAATGTGCGTGTGGTGGGGACGTGAGGATGCATGTGGGTGTGACGTGTGGCTATGTGTGGGGGGGCACGTGAGGGTGCGTATGGGGGAGACGTGAGGCTGTGTGTGGGGTGAATGTGAGGGTGCGTGTGGGGGGGACGTGAGGATGCATGTGGGGGTGACGTGAGGGTGCGTGTGGGGGTGAGGTGTGGTTGCTTGTGGGGGGGACGTGAGGGTGCGTGTGGGGGGGATGCGCGGCTGCGCGTGTGGGGGGACGAGAGGGTGCATTTGGGGTGAACATGAGGCTGCTTGAGGGTGTATGTGGAGGCAAAATGAGGGTGCGTGTGCAGGAGATGTGAGGGTGCTTGTGCGGGAGACATGCGGGTGCGTGTGGGGGGGACGTGAGGGTGCGTGTGGGGGGAACGCGTGGCTGCGTGTAGCGGGGCATGTGAGGGTGCATATAGGGGAGATGTGAGGCTGCGTGTGGGGTGGATGTGAGGGTGCGTGTGGAGGTGAGGTGAGGTGAGGGTGCTTGTGAGAGGGACGTGACGGTGCATGTGGGGGTGATTTGAGGGTGCGTGTGTAGGGGGACGTGTGTGTGCGTGTGCGGGGAATGTGAGGGTGCGTGTGGGGTGAACGTGAGGCTGCTTGAAGGTGCGTGTGCGGGGGACATGAGGGTGCGTGTGGGGATGACAAAAAGGTGCGTGTGGGGGAATGTGAGGGTGCGTGTGGGGGGGACGTGAGGCTGCTTGAAGGTGCGTGTGCGGGGGACATGAGGGTGCGTGTGAGTCGAACGTGAGCCTGTGTGAGGGTGCTTGTGCGGGTGTCATGAGGGTGCGTATGGGGATGACAAAAAGGTGCGTATGGGGGAATGTGAGGGTGCGTGTGGGGATGACGTGAGGTTGCGTGTGGGGGTGACATGAGGGTGCGTGTGGGGGTGACGTGAGGATGCATGTGGGGGTAACGTGAGGGTGCATGTTGGGGGGAGGCGAGGGTGCCTGTGGGGTGTACGTGAGGGTGCGTGTGGGGGGACGTGATTGAGCGTGTGCTGGGGACATGAGGGTGCGTTTGGGGTGAACGTGAGGCTGCTTGAGGGTGTGTGTGGAGGCGACATGAGGGTGTGTGTGCAGGGGATGTGAGGGTGCGTGTGAGGTGAACGTGATGCTGTGTGAGGGTGCTTGTGGGGGGGACGTGAGGCTCCGTGAGGGTCAAGACATGCTGCGTGTGGGGGTGGCGTGAGGGTTCATGTGGAGTTGACATGAGGCTGTCTGAGGGTGCGTGTGCGGGGGACATGAGGGTGCGTGTGCAGGGAATCGTGAGTGTGCATGTGGAGGAACGTGAGGGTGCGTGTGGGGGAACGTGAGTGTGCGTGTGGGGGATGTGAGGGTGCATGTGTGGGGGATATGAGGGCGCATGTGGGGGGGATGTGAGAGTGTACGGGTGGGGGGGACATGAGGGTGTGTGTGGTGGGGACGTGAGGGTGCATTTGGGGTGAACATGAGGCTGCTTGCGGGTGCGTGTGGAAGCGACATGAGGGTGCGTGTGCAGGAGATGTGAGGGTGTGTGTGAGGGTGTTTGTGCGGGAGACATGCGGGTGCGTGTGGGGGGGATGTGAGGCTGCGTGAGGGTCAAGACATGCTGCGTGTGGGGTTGACTTGAGGCTGTCTGAGGGTGCGTGTGCGGGGGACACGAGGGTGCATGTGCAGGGGACGTGAGTGTGCATGTGGGGTAACATGAGGCTGCGTGTGTGAGGGACGTGAGTGTGCTTCGTGGGGGGGACATGAGGGTGCGTGTGGGGGAATGTGAGGGCTCATGTGGGAGTGGATGTGAGGGTGTGTATGGGGATGGATGTGAGGGTGTGTGGGAGTGGATGTGAGGGTGTGTGGGGGGGATGTGAGGGTGTGTGTGTGGGGGGATGTGAGGGTGTGTGTGGAGGGATGTGAGGGTGTGTGTGGGGAGATGTGAGGGTGTGTGGGGGGTGTGTGGGGTGTGTGTGTGGGGGATGTGAGGGTATGTGTGGGGGGATGTGAGGGTGTGTGTGGGGGGATGTGAGGGTGTGTGGGGGGATGTGAGGGTGTGTGTGTGGGGGATGTGAGGGTGTGTGTGTGGGGGGATGTGAGGGTGTGTGTGGGGGATGTGAGGGTGTGTGAGGGGGGATGTGAGGGTGTGTGTGTGGGGGATGTGAGGGTGTGTGGGGGGGATGTGAGGGTGTGTGAGGGGGTATGTGAGGGTGTGTGTGGGGGGATGTGAGGGTGTGTGTGTGGGGGGATGTGAGGGTGTGTGTGTGGGGGGATGTGAGGGTGTGTGTGGGGGGATGTGAGGGTGTGTGTGGGGGGATGTGAGTGTGTGTGGGGGGATGTGAGGGTGTGTGTGTTGGGGATGTGAGGGTGTGTGGGGGGATGTGAGGGTGTGTGGGGGGGATGTGGGGGTGTGTGTGTGGGGGGGATGTGAGGGTGTGTGTGGGGGGATGTGAGGGTGTGTGTGGGGGGATGTGAGGGTGTGTGTGGGGGGATGTGAGGGTATGTGTGGGGGGATGTGAGGGTATGTGTGGGGGATGTGAGGGTATGTGTGGGGGATGTGAGGGTATGTGCGGGGGATGTGAGGGTATGTGTGGGGGATGTGAGGGTGTGTGGGGGTGTGAGGGTGTGTGAGGGGGGATGTGAGGGTGTTTGTCGGGGGGTAGATGTGATTTTGTGTGTTGGGGGGTGGGGTGAGGCTGAGTTGGGGGGAAGTGTTGGGGGTCTGAAGGTGTGTCTGTGGGGGTGATGTGAGGGTTTGTGTGGTGGGGGAATGTGAGGGGGTGTATGTGTGTGGGGGGATATGATTGGTTGTGTGGTGGGGGAATGTGAGGGTGTGTGTGGGAGTGGATGTGAGGGTGAGTGTGGGAGTGGATGTGAGGGTGTGTGTAGGGGGATGCGAGGGTGTGTGTGGAGGTGATGTGAGGCTATGTGTGGGGGGATGTGAGGCTGTGTGTGGGGGGATGTGAGGGTGTGTGTGGGGGGATGTGAGGCTGTGTGTGGGGGATGTGAGGGTGTGGGGGGGGATGTGAGGCTGTGTGTGGGGGGATGTGAGGGTGTGTGTGGGGGGGATGTGAGGCTATGTGTGGGGGGGATGTGAGGCTATGTGTGGGGGGGATGTGAGGGTGTGTGTGGGGGGATGTGAGGGTGTGTGTGGGGGGATGTGAGGGTGTGTGTGGGGGGATGTGAGGGTGTGTGTAGGGGGGATGTGAGTGTGTGTGGGAGTGGATGTCCGTGTGTGTGTGGGGGGGATGTGAGGGTGTGTGTGGGGGGGATGTGAGGGTGTGTGTGGGGGGGATGTGAGTGTGTGTGGGGCGGATGTGAGGGTGTGTGGGAGTGGATGTG